ATGACAAAATAAATAATGAGTAATTACAGTAGATTATATTACTATTGTATCTAGAAGTAGTTGAGGTCTGCGTATAAGGGAATACCCGAGTTTTGTGTAACAACCTCTGCTATATAAGTAATCTCTGGTTTCTTTTTTCAAAATCAACCTCAAATACCACTATCTTCATCTTTGTAATAATCTAATCTACGAGTAAAACAATGGAAAAAATACCAATAAAGTTTGCTTTCGTTATCTTCTTAATTGTTGACATCAGGTAAATTTTATATTTTCTGTTTGAAACAAATAACAAAACTCTACATACAATTTTTTATTTATAATTTCTGATTTTTTAGTGATGAGTATTGTTACAGTTCGAAATGTTGAGGCAAAAAGGTTATTACTTGAAGAAATTCCTCAGATTGTGCAACATCATGAAGGTTCACCACAGGTAGTGCAATTACAAGATGATGACTGCATGGAAGGGTGTCATATGAGATGTATTCCTAATAACAGAATTACTCCTTGTTTATGTGTATGTTAATTTTCGTTTTCTTTTAATTGTTGAATCGGATAATAAGATAAGTTTTCATTAATAATATATAAAACTTTGTTGCATACATTACAATAATAACTTTGTTTCATAGAATATAAGATATTATTGTGTTTATATAAATTGGCACGTATTTGCTAGATCAAAAATTATTCTGATGGATGGCATGCTTTGCCAAGTGTTTTTTGCCTGTGATCTTCCGGTGGCCTAACCGCGGCATTTTCTGCTGGGTTAGGTTACTGCAAATGAATATCATGCATGATGGGAATTCAAATAATATATATTAGCTTCATATATCTACTAACTTTTTTTTTTTTTTTTTTTTTTGATTAAAGAACCTACTAACTTATGATGATTTATATGTATATGATCATGTGGGTAACTATTTTATATCATTTATTACATCCAACGGTGGATTAATCCAACATCATATATATAGACTAACCTTTTCAAATTGATTTAGATTCAAAATAAATTGTTTTTTGCAGTTATGGCCACGACTGCAACATCATATATATGTCATGAACCGGTTTGTTGTTAAACATCTCATTTTCAGTATTTGATTTCTAGCTAAGTAAGCTATCATGAAATTAAACCTACACACCATGCAATCAAACCAAAGTTTCACATTTCAAATCATACCCGAAGTCTTGTCGTCTACCGTGTAACAATAAATAATACACTCACTACCTTTTTAAAATTCTCCTTTTTGAGACAAATTCGGATAAAACCAACAATCTCCAAAAATGTTCACTTCCCAAATGTCGTAATCCATATATCATACTCAAGAAGAAGGTTTTAAACTATTATGAGGTCATGTGCAAAAAGTATATATATATATATATATATATATATATATATATATATCAAATAAATATTTAATGTTTAACGATTCAAACTTTTTCTACAGATAAAGAAAGAATTTTTTTTTTGAAATCGAGACTATTCAAATGCAGCTCACAAGCATATGTAAAAATAGTCTTGAACATAGGTTTTCAAATTTGGTCCTCCAAAAGAGATTAGGTTAGGTTTGGTTTACTTTGGTTCACTAAAGCATGACAAGTACATAAACTGCATTGCTGTAACATGAAACAAATTAAGACAGAGAGATATCAAACCCAAAAACTATAAGACCCCATAGATAATGAACTGTCTAAAGACAAAAACCTTTTGGGAAGATATTTCTTGTCAGTTTGTTTCTGGATTCATTTTATATGAAGATCATTAGAAGTTTCATAGAGACAGAGAGACAAATTGAGTTGGGATTTTTCATGACTAGTAAAGAAAAAGAAATAGTATGATAAGTATCCATGTGGTTTGGTTGTTTTATCAACAAGAGAACAATCACCAAAATTTTAACTCAAAAGTTTAAAACTTTGATATAAAAAAAATACAGTGGATGTGATTGGTAACCCCTTACCCGCTTTCAGTGTAACCAATCACAAAAACAATACCAAAGCGATACAAAAAAAAGTTTGAGTTTATTTTTACCGCTCTTTCTATCCGTTACTTTGTACCATTTTTAACTATTTACATACCGCTAACCATTCTCTCTACTCACTAAAAGAATCGGTAACGTTTTGTACTACCAATCGAACCCAATGAAACTCAAAATCTTATCTTCAAAACACCAAAAAAAAAAAAATTATAAATGTGTTTGACTTTAGACAGCTAGAGTTTCAACTAAATTGACTAGGATGATCTAATCTTGATATCACAAGAACCACAAATAGATGAAAGAGTAAGTTCTTGGCTTTAAGAGAGAGAGGTGACATATGCATATGGCAGACCACATGTACATGTAATGCTTACCCTACAAAACTCAATGCTTGAACAAAAGAAAAAGGTTTTTATATTCTGCACATGAGTGTACCATACTCTACCCCACTTCCTTGAATTAGGGCTACAGAGAAATGAATCTAGACCGTCGTCTAAGATCAAAGAAAGTATTCTTTGTGTTGAAGATGAGAGTGTCCCACAAATGTCCCCAAAATGATGGGACACACTTTGCCTCAAAGTTGCTGCTACTGTTTACTACCCGACAGCTTTAGCTTTTGCCTTTGTCCTTAAATCAAGTTAATCCCATTTTTTCTAAATTACCAAAAAAGTGACTTTTCAATTCCTATAAAACACTCTTCTTCACAAAGCCTCTTATCTCATCAACAAGTCTTTCTCTCTCTAGACAACCATAAGAACACAAAACACACAAAAACAAAGTTTCTTTCTTTGAAGAGAAATGGAAAAAGTTGATGTTTATGATGAGCTTGTTAACCTTAAGGCAACAGAGCTGAGATTGGGATTACCAGGGACAGAAGAAACTGTTTCTTGCGGAAAAAGCAACAAAAGAGCTTTACTTGATGATACTGAGAAAGAGATTGAATCCACTGGAAAAAACGAAACCGCTTCTCCTCCAAAGTAAGTGTTTTGAATCATATACAAGAATAACTTGTCTGAAAATGTGTGTTGATTTGTGGATCTGATCTAATCCATGCAATTTCTTGTTTTGTAGGGCTCAGATTGTTGGATGGCCACCAGTTAGATCTTACAGAAAGAACAATATTCAGACAAAGAAGAATGAATCTGAAGGTCAAGGAAACTATGTGAAAGTGAGTATGGATGGTGCTCCATATCTAAGGAAGATAGATCTAACTATGTATAAACAATACCCAGAGTTGATGAAATCACTTGAAAACATGTTTAAATTCTCTGTGGGAGAATATTTTGAGAGAGAAGGATATAAAGGCTCAGACTTTGTTCCTACTTATGAAGATAAAGATGGTGATTGGATGCTTGTTGGTGATGTTCCTTGGGAGTAAGTACAATGTTTCAATCATCTCTCAAAATAGTAACTTATAACACAATCTTGTTTATGTACTTATGCTGTTTTTGTTGTTGTTGTTGTTGTTGTTTCAGGATGTTTGTCTCGTCTTGTAAGAGGTTAAGGATCATGAAAGGATCAGAAGTTAAAGGGTTAGGTTCTGGTGTTTGATACACCTAATTGAGAGACAAAATATCAAAGAGAAAGATTCAAAAACAGAGTTTTTTTGTTCTGTTTCTTGAAACAGAGTAAATATAGCTCTGAAACTGCTCGGGTTCTCGGGGAGAGATGATGTTTCATACAATCATAGTTTGTGAATTTTTACCTCATAGGTAAAAAACATTCACTTCTTGTGGTGTTCTTGATTCTCTGATGGTAACAAAATGTAACAGAGAGATGCTTAAAATGGTCTTAAGCATATAAGTGTGAGAAAGATCTAAATCTAAACTTTAGCTATAACTCTGTCTCCTTAAAGGAAAAGGTTTTGTGGTGTTAGAAAGATCATTATGTTTGTGTTTTTTGTAAAGTTCTAATCGAAAAAATTATGTAATTACCCATGTTTCTGTTCTGTTTCTCTTTAAATTAAGATCTGTGTTAACAAATTCTGCAAAATGCAATCAAATCAAGAATTTACAAAAGAGTAAAACAGAACATTAAGATCATTCACATATGATGCTCTGTTTTATTGACCTAACTTGCAGATGAACACAACAAACAAATCATTTAAACCAAAGCTGGTTTATGGCACAAAAAAATGAACCAGCTTTCAAGGAACTTCATTGGATTCTAGAGACTTTTAACTTAGATTATAGATGTTTAATCACCAAGAGATAGAGAGATTAAAGAAATGAGAAATCTAATCGAGCAGTGGGAATATTTTTGGGGCTTTGGAAATGTTTATATTATCTTTTGTTGTTAGTTTGATACCTACTGTGACTTTGGTCCCCCATACCTTCAACAAGTAAATCTACCCAACTGTGCTAATTTGTCTCCACTATCACTTAAAATAATCTATCACATATTCTAATATTTATGAAACTTGGAACTAGAGTATTATTCAAAAATGGTATATTATGTTCATTGAATTTGGGGTTTTCCTTAGTGCTCAAACAATTTTTACATTCAAACCTAATGTTCTTGATGCTAGATGATTATAAGTCAAGAACTTTACCAACACTTACACCTAATTGCCTCAATTAATTAAATCTAAAAAAAAACTGTTAAACAATCTTGTATCAAAAATGGAGGATGATGATGATGATTATGATTACAGAGAAATCTTTGAGAGTCATTATCGAACACCTTTCGGGTATGAACATTGTCTAGGGATGAGGCAACAATCGATCAACACAAGACGGATTCAAGATTCTTGATGAGATTGTATAACTGAATATTAATCTATATTCCTAAATAAAGGTTTTGTAATCTTCTTTTTGAAACATATAAATAAATGAGAGAGTTAAGAAGAGTATAATCTTTGATCATCAGTTTCTGACTCTAACAAGGTTAACTCTTGACCTGTTTGGTCGTTGCTACTACCACCAGAGATTGTCATTATTGGTTCAGACTGAGAAGTAAATCCTTCTTCTTCCTGTGGTTTCTTTCCCACTCTTTGATCCGTGATCAGCACAATTGAACTGCTAGTAACTACCGGTTTAGCTTCGTCAACATCTTCACGATCTGTCTTCTCCGGTAGAACATAAGACAAACCGTATTTCTGAGCATGTGTCAGTCCTGGGCATAAACCCTACAAAACCCAAACCAGAAGAAGGTTTCAAAACCTTTAAGTAACTGAGTCTGCTGCAATTTTTGGAAGGAACTCCAAAAGAAAGAAATAATCTTTTTTTTTTACTGACCTTTATCAAACCGGTAATTGGAAACGATTCGTGGTAAGGATAGATGTTACTGCGATCATCGTTATTACTCTCTTCTTCAAGGACTTCTTGTTCCAGTTTTGTGGAATTGCTTGGACAATATCCGCCAAAGTAAGAGCAACGTTCCCGAGCTAGAGATATTTGCGGTGTTAATGGTAAAAGATGACCTTCCGTGCTAAAGATATACCTGAATATTAAGAGAAGTTAACAAGATTAGTCAAATGTTGTAGTACTTGTGAAAGTCAAGAGGTTAGTGTACGGAGATTTTGTACTTGTAAGGGCCATTGTCAACGAGGTTATCTGAGTCAACAGCTAAGTCAAAGAGTAGCCATAAGTACTTTACCTGAAATATTTGTGAAATACAAAAACATGTCAAGGCTTTACGTACATGCAATATTGAGAAACAGATTTTTGTTTGTTTTTTTACAGTTTCTGCGAGGAAAAAGCTCTCCATGTGATCTTCTTGTTTATGAAGTTCTACATCTGTGATGTGACAATAACCGCAAGGACATTTTGCCCCGTATTGCAAACTAGCCACAAAGTCACGTCCTGCATCAAGATACCTATCGACGAGCAAATTGCATTGCAATTCAGTAGTGCAATCATCTTTGGATGAAGAATTGAAAAATCTAACGAATTAATTTGGTGACCTGGGATCTCTGGTAGCTTTGTACAACCAATATGTGCTCTCGATTAGTTCCGGCCTTAGGGGATAACTCTTTTGCCCATACTGTAAGGAAAATGAAGAATAGATATGAAGTTCTAACATCATAGTGCCATCAGAAAATGAAACCTAATAAGTGAAAAGTGATCACAGAGACACTTAAAATCAAGATAGAGTACCTGGACACTAAGAGTAGCAAGATTAAAACCCTCAGGGGTGAAACCATATCGTTTCCAGACGCTAAAGAAGGCAGTGTGAGTTCTAATTGCCGGATCAACATCTCCAGCTAAAACCTTTTGAGAGAAACATAGATACAAAACAGTATAGTCTAATTTTTCAACCTGAAATATATTTTAACATTCAAACATAGAATCACTATTTACTTGAAGTCCTGGCCAGAAAGCTTGAAGGCTGTTAAATACTGGCCAGACAATAGCTGCGGAATCCATATTGACTTCTACATACCTACGACAAAGCTAGAAAAAACAATAAGTCGAAACAAAGGAATTGTTTGTTCATGTTTCTCATAACACAAGATACAGAAAGCTTACCAAGGATCCTTGTGAAGGTACTGCATTGCAGATCTATAAGCTTCTTGAAAAATGTATAGATATTCCTCATCCCCAAATAGTATATAAGCCTGGAATTGTCGAATCAAACAAAAGTAAAGCGAGGACAATATCAATGCCGCTCAAGTCTTATGCAAAGTTGAGAACAGAAATTAAAATTATATGGATTTCTGGACTTCGGGGACTTGGCCATTATATCTTGTCAAGGGCTACGCTTACTAACCTTGAGGAGATACTCATAAAAGGAATCAATGCTTGTTCCTATACCAGCATCCTGCCAAGTACCGTTTTAGAATTTGGGTGACAAAAAAAGACCAATTAGTTTGTAGAAGCAAAGTTCCTCAACAAAATGAAGAATAGCCTTAATAACTGAAGTATGCCAAAAACCATAGTTCTTCTGACATATACAGAAGCCATTTTTGTTACCTTCTGTGTCCATTCACCTGTAAAGACATTGATGTGAGCACCAACCAAGTCGAGATTTGAACGACGTGCCCATAGTCCCCTCACCGCATTCTTTGCAACTTGTTCGAAAACTTCAATTTTAACAAAGTTGGACCACCAAGTGAGAGCACGTAAAAAACAAAACAAACTATAAAAATCAACATTACATCTCTTAGAAATCCAAATGAATATGATAAAAGAATAAAGAGAGTTAAAGAGAAGTATTTCTCAGTGACTAAACTGATTTACCCACCAGGATCATTTGTTAAACGACTAAGCACGCCAAACTCTAAAGACAAAGTACCACCACCCGCAGTTGATGTTATCTGAACAAATAAAACAAAGATGTATGAAAACATGAGCTCCAATATATGAATCAAAAGATAAGATCAGCAAGCAGAAAATGAGTAGCTGAATCTCAATACTATTTAACTCGTTGAGAACTATCAAAGCTAGGCAAACCAAGCCTATTAGTATCATTTATATTAATGTGCACTCCAGTCAGTCACCAAAAGCACAGATCAACAAATTAAATATGTCAGAATCAGATGTGAAAGCTATGAGAAGGGAAAAGAAGATGGCTTGCCTTGCTTTCATGTTTGTCAACACCGTACATCAAATTCACAGATCCAAATGGGATTCCTGTAGAAAAAAGAAAAAAAAGAAGATGGAGATGACAAGGCAATTCCTCGCTTTCACATATGCATGTCAGCTTATTAACAAGTGATAACTAAAAGAGTATACCAGTCGGTGTATCAAATGCAGGAAGCATTCTCCGTGTCAAATCCTCAGCCAAAACTAGTAATTCATTGTTGTAAGATGGAATTCTCATGCCCTGTCATCAGGTTAGAATCAATAAGGAGATTTTTATAATTTAGAATCCAACAAAATAGTTAAGACAAGCAGGAATCATAAGATTATTTGCACGATAAGCTCATATATAGCCACACACTATAGAGGGGGCGCAAGAAAAACTACTTCGGTTTTCTAGCTGAAGAATGTACACATATCCTCGTATAAGATCACGACAAAAGAATAGCTAAGCAGAAGAAAAGTACCGTAGCATAATCACTTGCAATCAGATGAGCAGAAAGTAAACCCCCAAGGACTCGGATAGTTGTCTCGAACACAGAGACAGTTTTATTCTGCAGTTAAAAAGACATATATCATTGCATCAACTTCACTGCCAGCCAGGTTACATCTTACAAAAAATCTGAAAGGAGTACTTGAGAAAATAACAATTAAAACATGGTCTTGCTAGAGAAGCCAAAACCAATCATTACTCACTATATTAAACTGAAGGTTTTTACCAATCCATTCAACAGAAGAAGTGAAGCGCTCTCGGTCACCAAGTAAAGCTAATGTATCCAAGGAGTCAATCTACACAAATGCCACCAAAACCACTGTCAGGTTTTACATAATACTGAGCCTTACACAAGACAAGGTTAAAACATAAAAGGTTACCAGGGTCAACGCATAGCCTCCAAGAGTATCTTCTCCTTGGCAAGATAATGGTCTCAATTCATCGAGCGGAAACGCATTGTTCATATATCCATCAAAAGCATGATAAAACATCCCACGTACCTACACTCAATGTGATCAAACCCATCTTTTAGGTAATTGGCAAACAACAAGGAGCTAAACCACCATCAAACTAAATGATCTCACCTAAACTATTAAATGTTCTGGTCAAAAGGCTAAAGAAGTTACCTTTACGACATAATTAACATCAATGAGTAATTACAACATCCAAAGATCAAGACTTTAAGTGTCCCACAAAACTAAATAGCTCTAATACTCAATTTGGGGATAACTGATAAACCAATCGATGACCAAAATCGAAATCCAGATCTGTTGAGGAATGTTACCTCGTCTCTAAGCTGTTTAGCTTCATCAGGCTTAACACTTTCGGCGAGAGCTCCATGGTCAAGGACAAAACTTGAAAATGTCAGAGAGATCAAGATGGCAAACACAAGCCACCTGATATTTGATTCCATCAATAAACTAT